CAGGTGCGAAACTTCCCGCTTGTCAGTGTCATATTTGACAGTAAATGGGGCCCAAATGGGGCTCCCATTTACTGAAATACCATGAATTTCGATCCGCCATTCCAAACGTGAGTACCCCAGGCCATTTCCGTTACAGTATTATAGTCAAAACATGCATATACATCCTGGTTTACATCTAAACTCCTCTGAACTAAGATGTTAAAAGCAAAAAGTTCTTCTAGAGTTCCGTACCTCTTTTGTCTATTCTATTATGAATCATTTTGAGGAAAATCTTCAGTGTGCGGCTCATCAGACTGATTGTGCGATAGTCGCTGCATTGCCTGGAATGTGCTTTTTTCGGTAGAGGAACAAACGTCGACACCAGGCAGTCTTGCGGTATTATGCTGGATTTTGCTATCAAAAGGTCATAAGACAAATTCAGCAATATCAATTTTGTTTTTCTAAGCAGTCCCACTCTTGCATTCTATAATTGGTTGCTTTTTTTCTTTGTTCAATTGTTAAGGCACAGAATCACTTTTACAACCTTCGGGTACTTTCGAATAGAAGATAATTGTCGTTCCATCTATTGTATGCCAGAATATCAGACAGTAAAGCTGAAAATGCGTAAGGAGAATATTCATACAAGAAGGGCCAACCGCTTTTTTCTTTTTTGATGCAGCATTTTATAAATGAGTTTCTTTTTGTATATTGTATCCATTCTGGTCCTGCAAGGTGGAGCTTTTCGATGACGGGATATTCATTGTTCAAATATGTTGCTCAGTTTCCAATGTCTGTTGTGTTTGCCACCGGTTAAGAATGTTCGGTATCAGTCAATTCTTGATTCAGTAGCTGGCTTACAACATGAAGTGTTACTGGCTCTTGAGGATTGGAAATTAACATGTAGCTGGAAGCTACTTATAGATATGAGCTACAAGCGCATGCGACTTCAAGTTGATACCTGATTGTCGATTTGACACGATACAGTCGGTCTTGTCAAAGCATTCTTCGGCGCCGGTGCCCGTCCGCTTCCCGGACTTCTAATTTCGACAACTGCCTGGTTTTTGTTCCCAGTCTATCCATCAAGACCCAGCTGGTCCGGCCGAATGTTGAAAAACAATCCATTGTCCCGCATAAACCATTATTTGCTGCCGGACGGTCATCGCAGGAATTTTTGACCGCGCCGCTAACGCTTTCCCACATTTGTTTACAGCAGGTAAGTCTCACTGGAAATCGCCCTCGTGAGAACTGGTCCATAACCAAGAATGCCCCCGAAAAATCCTGCAAATGAACCTGCACAATATTCTATATGAAGAAGCACTGTCCAAAAAACAACTTATCTACACTGCTTTCCTGGATAGGAACGAAAACTAGTCACTTTCGATTTCGAAAACGTCTGTTGGAAATAGGAATTATAGCTCTGATGCATTTAACTTTCTTTGTTTGACGGCAGTCTTCTAGTTCCGGAAAGCGACCCACACCATCAAGTGATAGTCTTCATCTCAAATATGCCTAATTGCATGTAATGTAACAACCGTCAATGTGACCTAAAAACGAAATAAGTTAGAATATACTATTTCTGCGGCTTCCAAGAAGACCATAAATACAACATTCGATTTTTCACTGCAACTAACGTTTTCTTATCTCTTCATAAAAATGAAAAATATGAAAAAGTGCATCTTCAGTTCCTCTTGTTAATAGTAAATATAAGTAGTAGTTTTCACGGTTATTGTTTTGTAAATGTTTTGTAGTGATTGGTTCAATTTCTTCCGGAACAGATCTTTTAACTCTTACTTAATTATAGAGCTATCCGAATCAGCCAAAGTACTAATATTTATATCTATAGTCTCGACTTTGCCTGATCTCATAGGTGTTTGAGGTGTAAAAACTGTGGAACTTCAACTCTTGGTGGGACGTAATGACGTCCTCGGCCCTATACTTAATATTATATAATATATATTATATAATTAAAAATAAATTATTTTTCAAGTGTAATGGATTCTTTTGGGTCAGTGAACACCTCCTATGTCAAAATTTGACGTCACAAAATTGGGAAAATTTCGAAAATATTTTCCCAAAATTTTGCGTGATTTTGGAATAGCGTTAACTTTGTTATTGCCCTTGAGACGGCCCATCAACTGGACTTATTAGGTTCAATTCGACTCCCATATTTTCGTGATTTTCGTGAAAACTATGAAAGCTGGAAGGTTGAAAAAAATCCTGTTTTGGATAGTGCTCGATGAGCCCGAGTGATTTTATAAAGAATGACTTTTTGCGATAGAAAGCTTCGTTTTCGAGCAAACAAATAAAATGTAAAATTTCAAATTAGAATTGGTTGAAATTGACACCAATTGGTACTGAGAAAAATACATACGAATCAACTACATCTCAAATCGATGCGGTATCCATTTTTAAAAAGTAAACTTTGGTCTGTCACTTGGATTCGAAACACCCTGTATCAATTGGTACTCTTAAAATAAACTAGACATTAATATCTACAACTTTTGTACGTCTGCAACATTTTCTCTAAATTTCAAATTAGATGTTAAAACGGGGTGACCAAAGTGCAATCAATAACCCTGTACAAGTATTCATATTATTAACATGTGAATTATTCCTTTATGTTTTTTAAATTCAATAAACTGTTTTATGCAGTACATAAATATAGTATCAACTTTTCCAAATTGTTAAAAGTGTGCCGCGGCAGAAAAAGATTGAGAATCACTGCCCTGCTTAATTCCGACAACCCCATAGAAATGCTCCCAAATTTAAACGACTCTTTACACAAGAGTGAAAACTCTCAATTCAGTTTCTTTCGTCTTTTGTACTTTTATTTTTACTCTTAGTTTATCTATTGTAAATATTAAGCTATTGAATTGTAATTAATCCGATCTTTTAAAATGTACCAGAATGGAGAAAACTATTAAATTGAAACGACGAACAACAAAATATAATTTAATTATATACAATAAATTATAGATTCCATTAGAATGCTTGGAGTAAAAATTCGGGGCAGAATTTATTTCAATAAATAGCTATAGTGTAGTTATAAAATAATAACTACTGTATGTTAAATTTTTTATATGTAGTATATTGTTTTTACATTGGTTGGCATTGAGCATCAAATAATTTTAAGCTTAGTTAAAAGTATGACTTTTGAAAATACTTTCTGTATACCAACATCAATAAATGAGCAATAATTGGAAAAGCCATATTTATTTGAATGGTGGGAAGGACTTTACAGATATTTAGTTTATTTTCTATAGTAGCCAACAGTTTCATATGAATGTTGCTTATATTGAAAACGTCATTATGAAGCAGATGCATGCATTTAATTGAAGTTAATTTTTCACTTTATCTGTTATCATATCAATAATATTTATTTAATGTAAAATCTAAGTCCTAAAATCCTACCTATATCTAAATTTGGTATTAAGTCTCATTATTGAACGGAATGCTTGACATTTCATAACGGACACTCACAGAGTTAAGCTTTTGAGTAAGCAGATCAGTATAAGATAAATACGCTCTAATCCTTCTCACAAGTCGATTATAAGAAATTAAAATGATCCATTCTTTAAAAAATAAATTAGTCAAGTTTTATTAAAACTTTATTTCCTGGCTTAAAAATGGCAAAAATTTTACATGCAGAACTTATTATGAAAATTTAATTCAATGTAGTTTGTGAAACAATTTTCTTGCATCAGGTGCTTCTTTAAGGTTTCATCAATAGTGAATTCCTTATTGTATGTGATTTATAATTTTGACCCAAGTTAGCTTAGAATTTAATTAAGATGCAATCTAATAAATATTAAAATATTTCATTTATCTATATCAAACGTACCGATGTATGATGGGTATTTTAAGCATCTTAGTTAATAAAATATTTTTGTTTTCCAATGAATTTTCGTCTTGTTTAAACATAATAAATAATTTTGTTGTAGCTTTTGCGTGATCGTGATGGTAATTAGTAAAAGACATAAATAGGCATATTTTACTACTAAGACTACTTTCCACGTTTTAATTACAAAAAGTGTTAAAATGCAAATTTGTAATATATAAAAAGTATAGCTGAAGTCAGTAATTAAGATTTAAAAGTTTAGCCGTCGGTTAGAATATTATCAAGAAGTACCCAACGGAATCAACTGGTTTATGATATTTCCATCAAGTGCGATAGGTGATTTTATCATAATTTTCTCGAGTACTTTTAAAGTGGCAGGAATTCAAGGTAAATTTATATTTTTGAGTAATATTATATTGTATTTTCCGCCAGTACTTCAGAGTTTTATTTGAAGTCAATTTATGGTCATCTAAAGCAAGACGTTTGGCATCGAAAATCGTGTTTATAGTATAAATCAACAACGAAAAAGTTTTTTTTGGTAAAAGAATGTGCCCAGATAAACAAACTAGCTTGCTTTCTGTCGACGTATATATTTAGTTCGGCATTTAGTTAGTAGTGTTGACCATTATTAATAGTGTGTTAAATATCAAGTTGTGGATGTTCAGCAGTGTTTTCTCATCTGGATTCGAAAGAATGAGTAAATATGATATGAATTTAGGCCTAATGGACTTTGACTTCCTAGAGGTAGGTATCCGTGGACCTTAGAGTTGTTGTACATAAGATCATCCATATTAAAAACTCATTAAAGTTAATTTCAGTTTTGAAGCTAACTGAACTTGCCTTGCAAAGCGCAGAACCATTTGAATTCACTGTTATCAAGACTCCGGATCATTCAGCGTTTGCTGTATGTACAGGGTGTACCGACGGAAACCACCGCGATCGATATATGGCAAACTATAATTTCAGTTTCAAATTTCTCCTAATTGAAGTTTTCCAGATATTGATCGCGGTGTTTTCCGGTGGGACACCCGGTATTATTTTCCATTTTCATGGAGTACTTTTACAACAGTGGTTCATCATATGGTTCCAATTTGCTTAAATATAAATATCCCGTACTGTAATTTTAAAATGTTATTCATCGAATTTTTACCGAGTTTATTCGTCGAAGCTCTATGGCAGTTTTTATGGTTAATATAATATACAGAGTGATTCAAAATATGAGCCATCAATTTTTGGGGCTACTGGGCTTTACTTGGCGAGTGCGGAAAAACGGATAATAATTATGGCAGATTACTTCTCGAAGGCGAAATTCCGGCTTTTTACCAATATTTTCAAGTAATTCAATTTTATCTTGACAGGCTAGTATTAGGACTTAAAAATTGGAATAAAAAATTGGAAATCTTCCCTAACCTGAAAACTATATTTTATTTGAAAAAAAAATGATTTCAGCAAACAGATGTTTGCTGAAAAGCATTTTAGCTGATTTGTGGTTAGTTTCCAAATACCGCGCTTTGGAATGTATGGCAAATGCAGCAATTTGTTACTTCAGACTCTGTCTGAAGAACCTTTTAAGAACAATGCCAATATCTACAGTTCTAAGAATACTCTTTTTTCATCAAAAGTTTTTCGTTTTACACATCAAACTGCGCAGGTTCTACCATTAATTGTTAAACAATAAAATTGATGTTGTGAAGTAAGGTTTTCCAGGAATTAAGCAGTTCTATGATAGGCTTCATGTAGTGGGCATGCGCATTGAAATGTGCGTATTTATATCTTTCGTTTAGAAACTCAATTGAAAAACTGGATTTTGAAGCATTGAATTATTTTTTACTGAATAATATTTTTATCAATAAAATGAGCTCGTCTTTTTCATATGCATTTTAAATTTACTTGATGCTTTAGTTGATTTGCGTATAAAGGGTTAGTAAAGAGAATGTTATTTGCAGGTCCAAACCAAAATATTGTTGCCAAATTTATGATCTAGTTTTTTGCAAATTTCTCAGTTTTTTGGTAAGAAAAAGACTACCTCAGGCAATTTCTCCGGCGGACTGACCCTAATTATGAATCATCATGTATTGAAATTTCTAAATTACGCTAGTAGATTTGTTTATTCTATTATTAATGAAAATAACTGAGAAAAGAATTGTAATTTTATCTATCTCTAGATGCATTTATATATATACAAACTGTAGTTTGAGCAGTTGTCTCTTCTTTCTTTATTATGGATTGGTGCTATCCATGCCTCTTTCCAGCTGGATGGCATTTCTTCACTGTTGATGTATGTGGAGAACAGTTCTTTCAGGAGTTTCCTCAGCTCGTTTGTTCCATTCTTTAGCAGCTCAGCAGCTATTTCTTCCGGTCCAGGGGATTTTTTATGTTTTCAGTTTCTGATTGCCCGTTCTACCATATTCTCATTCACATCTATATGATGTTCTTGAATAATGTTTGGTGTGGGTGAGCGTGTTAGATATTGCACTCTGCCCTTCCTTAGTTCCCTAGAGTAGAATAAATTCCCTAGTGGAAACAGCACTCCACTGATTTATCTCAATTGGTTGAATATTTATTTTGATCGTATCATCATGTTTCGTTTTTGTTTTTGGCAATAAGACCTTCGAATTTGGCTTCTTCTTGCTTGTATAAGTTATGATCATTTGCGTTTTTTGTATTCAGCCATTTCTTAAATGCTTTCTGTTTTATGTGTTCTTTTTTGCTGTCAAGTTTGCCACTACAATTCGTTCATATAGTGTATCCCAATTTTGTAGTTACCAAAGTAACATAATGTAAGCTGCATTAAGACAAAAATTAAAAAATGAAATTGTGGCTATTATTCATCTTTTCGATTTTTCTGAAAAAACTTCGATGGGAAGGCCAAAACTACTATTTTAATACTCTGTATATTGGGATATCCTAAATAACATAGACAGCTCAAGTATATATTATTTGCAATATCAGAATTATCTCTTTCATGTAAGAACCAAATTCCAATATATTGCTTGGATAAGTTAAAAAGCCTGATCTACATTTTAATAACTTAATATTGAGTCAAACTGAGCGAACTATTTTAAATGTTAAGTACCTATCTGTACCCGCAAAATCATTGGTTTTTACGTTTTTCATTTTATTGTGGGATATCAATTTTTCACCCAAATAGCTTAGAAAGTTGTTTGATGGTGAATGGTTTTCTTGCTGTTACTAACATGTCATTAAAAAAAAAATTCTGCCTTTCTCTAGAAGGGAAAAATGCAATTTTAATATATCTCGATTGGACTGAAATCTATACCAAATGAACCCTCCAGTATGGATGGGTTCTTTGTCAAACAAAAAATTAAAATTAAAAAGTCGGGCTTATCGCATTACAATCTGGAATTTATTTTAAATTGGAATGTATTTAACTTTAAGTATCTCGAATATAAGTAGATGTGGAACGTATGCCTATAAGAGCCTCATGTATTCTTTTTATCTTATCAATCCGCGATGCCACATATTACAGGGCAACTTACATAGGGTGCATAATGCGTTGAACCATAGTAAAAGCTCGACCTTTCTGTGACTTTCTGTGTAAATTTATTTATTGTTGTATTCTGCTAATTCTTGACTATATCAATTTGTTTAATTATCTTCATTTTATTTCTAAGCCAGCCATTTGAGTATGTAGAAAAATACTTAGTTCGGACTAATTTACTATAGCAAAAATAAATATTACAAACACATTAGTTTATAAATAAATTTTAATCGAAAGTTTTCTTATCAAAACCTTTGTTCTCGTGATTAAGCAATTTAAACTGAAGTGTTCTAAATCATCTAAGGTCTGATAGTTAATTAAATTACACAGTAAATATAATATCTTCAAAAGTGAGGCCTGCTCGAATTTAAACGTCGTTTCCGGTATATTTCTAATGGTGTTTATTTGAACATCTATACATGAATTTTTTAGGGAAGCATCTGGATTTGTTGCCTAAAACATATAGCTTTTTTAACACATCATATATTTGGGGCTTTTCCGTCTTATTACATTTTTGAGTTATAAAAGGCGTTTGGCACATATTTTCCTTGTTATGAAATTTCTGAAAAACTGCCAATCAAGTTGCAGTAGAACAAAGTGATCTAGTTCTATGCCGTTCCATCAACCTTTTTCTACAAAACCTTTCTTCTAATAGTTGTTTCGCCAGTTCGGAATGTCAACGAAAACATCTTGAGTTGCAAAATCGACTCAAGCATGATTTTTTTACAAGTTTCTCAAGAGCCATTTGAGCCACATAATTCGTTTTGGCATCGTTGGATAGTGAATTGAAAATTCGATTCAGTCAGGGCAACGTGCGGGAGAAAATTCTAGTAGTTTTGACCCGGAAAGCGAAATTTGACAGACACTTAGGTGTAAGATTATGAGAGCATTTCATGTTTTCCGTTTAGTCGTTGCTCATTTCTCGGAGCAAGAACGCTAATTTTTACATCATTCCAGAGAGAACCACAGGCCTTTTGAGAAATTCAATTTAAGAAATTTTTGATTTGCGTGTTTTTTTTGAGACGTAAGAGGAATAGTCCCAATTCATTGTCTTTTGAAATTACAATTTTTAAGGGCTGCTTCATACTTAATTTTTGTTAAATGGTATATTGAATTACTTATTTTAAATTTATTAATTAGAATTTAGCTGACAAGTGCTCGTTCTTAAATACATGATTATTAACTTATTGAGCTGATGTGTTTATTAGCCTTGGGATAGAAAATCTAACAAATGGTCGATTGAGTAGAATATGAAAGTCTATTTAGTTCAGATTCTGAAATAAGCAGAAAACCTGTGTGAAAAGTGTAAAAACGGTATGGTGGATGATGTTCATATGTAGCTGCCAGTAAACTAGTACTCACTCAGGCAGGTCTGTTTCCGACACAGAAATTATAGATCAATTTTTTGATTGATTTTGATATTATTCTCTTCTATATACATGAAAGAAATGTCAGTTATATGAAGTTGGTTCAATTGGAGAAAAGTTGGGCGATTACGCTGCAATGAAAATGACGCTTAAAAATGTTTCCTACAATTTTTCGTTTGTGACTTACTTGGAAAGCTGGAATTTTTGCATTTCAATATTGTTATTTTTTCGTTTTAATAAAACAATTATAGCAAAACTGCTGACGTTTTTCGAATACTCTGATGATCTTTCATAAAACTTAAGTCACTGTAAAATCCCAATTGCTAATCAGCACAAGACTTTAAGGCTTCGTTGGGAAGAAACCCTTTAACCTTCGTTGTGAAGAAACCCGGTTAGTTAAATACATTTTCAGATAACTGTCCTATAATTATATAAATGTGTATAATATATTGGGTATTGAAGTTGACATAAAAATGTCCAACTTCTGGATATTAATTTAAACAACTTATAAAAATATAAGAAACTATTAACTCGCTATTCATTGTTGAATTTAGAGTTAAAAAAGTTATGAATTTGCCGATAAACAAGCAGGGTCATATTTAAGAAGGCCAAGAAGACAATTAGATCGTAGTTTTCAGAATACAACGTCGACGTTCAAAAGGAATAAAGTTGCCAAGATAAAGTGTTCTGAACTTTGCTCTAGTTTTGATATTAACATCCTAAAATGAGATAATTTAAAATTGAAAATGGTATTTTTTGAAGTCACTGGAAAAAGAAACTTTTCATCAAAAGTATTTTGCCCATGTTAACTGTAGCCTTTTGATAGTTGTGTTACTAGTGGCTATATACAAATAATTAAAATAATGTTGTCTTCTAACTATTATTATTTGAAAAGATTTATAAATGTGTGTTATGTAGGTTTTGACGCTTTTTGGCTATGCACTTAAAACGGCCGTTATAAACCTATGTTGTAACAAGGACACAACGGTTTGCGCTCACCGATGGGTGTTCACGGGATTCAATATAGAAATAATTTTTATGGATCCGTAAGCAATCTGGCGAAACTTCAATCAAGCTTTTTATGCATCAATCATCTTATGAAATTTCGGTATCCTAGTCAAGCTTCCTTAATTTTTTAAACTAATTTTCCGACTGTTCTCGTCGCCAAATGATTCGTTTTAGGAAGTTATTTTTGGTAGTTTTACAACCCGTTTTTATTACTAATTACTTGTGTGGTTTACACCATAACTTTGCTAATGTATATTTGAATGTTTTCAAATACATTACATTATGAAGACTGAAACGGCATTCTTTCTAAGTTAATTAAATATCTTCACGCGCACAACGGAATAAATTAGACACAAATGATATGCAAAGTGCCTAGCAGTAATTTTATTTTGAACGATTAAATTATTTATACGTGGCATATAAAAACAAACCGTATTAGTATATTAAAGATTTCCACAATTAAGTTAAAAGTGACAAAGTGAAAAAAGGGACAAGTTGATCTAGTTCAGGTAAATTGTCGAATGTGACCCATCATTAAAAATTTGTATGCAAGGGTGACATACATTATTTTGTCATTTATACAAATGCATGAGGAAATTTAACAGAGATTTACTTTTCGACTCCAGGCTTTGGGACGGCTAACTTAGAACTCTTTGGTGAAGTTGTCTTATAAATAAATACCTATATTCTTCGCCTTAACTTCAAAGAGTTCACACAGATTAGGAAAGGGCGTGTTTGTAGCTGTTAGGGTTGTTGGGGTATAAGGAAACCTAAAACTTATCCTTAACCCAACAACTATTTAGGTTGGAACACATTCCTGGTACAAAGGCGACTTGTTAACATGTTAACAACTCTTCTGTGCCGTGTGCCGGCGGCTTTGTGGCATGACTTGCTGAACGAGGCGAACGACTACAATTCATCAAAATTGTTGACGTCTTAATAGGTACTATTTGACATTATATCTTGGTTTATTTTTTCAGTTGAATAGCCCGAACCTTTTAAATGAATTAAGCAGGTATTACATGACCAAATGCAGTGTCAAGATAAAATAAATTAATATTAATCTTGGACCGTTTCGTTCTTTATCATACCACTTTCCGACAAAGCACCATATTTATGTGCACTCGAGGAACCGACAACCAAGGCTTCTTTTTAATTTGTTAAAATACCTGTTACACTTGCACTGGTGAAGATTATTTATGCTGTTGCAGACCTTTTGATAAAGTAAATGGTAAATTGGAATTGGGTAGGGTACCGATTACTTGCCGGTTAAAAATGGCGCTCAGGTTTTCACGACGAGCAAATTTATAAGCTTTATTAAAATTAGACCGGAAGATTCCTGAGAGCCGTCATTATAACAAATTGCTCTCGTTTCAGGTACATTCCACAAGACACTTTAAAGGGGAAACCTCCTCGTCTTTCCAATTGGAACTGCCAGTGTACCTGTCCCGACCAAAGTATACAAACTAAATGTTTGTTTCATCCCTCGGTTTTCACTGCGCTTTTCAATCATAATTCTTATTTTCGATTTAATGGGTAGTCAATGGTTAAACAATAAGTGTCTTGTTTGTAACGGTAAATATTTGATATGTTTTTGAAAGGAGTTCTTTTCTTTCAGTTCAACGTCCAACGATTACAAGACGCTCACACTCTGTCGTCACAGGCGGCGGCAAGCAGTGCGGCGTCGAGCGCCGCGACGGCGGCGTCGGTCGGCGCCGGAGGAATTCTTGGGGATACGCACCCCCTTGCCGCGCACCACCACCCCTTATACCTGCAGGGTTCTGCCCATTCCAGTGGCGGGTCTGTTAGTTCAACCGGAGGGGGCTCTCCAACAAGTCCTCTCAGGCCGGGCAAGGAAGAAGAGTGTAGCTTGCACGGAAGAAGTAGTACTGAAGGTCAGTTACGAAAGGGCAATTCCAATTACATTGCGGCATCTGAACCTTTAACTTTATTAAAATACATAGTGACTGGCAGGAGGTTCTAGTCCAACCAGTTTTCAATATGTTTCATTAACTGACCATGTTAAAAATCCTTTGTTTTGGATTTACTAGTAGCTAAAGTTTTAGCTTAGACCACAAAATTGCTAATATTTAGGAAATCACTTGGAATATTTGAATAGCATTGTTCAGGCTTTGAAGAACTGAAGAACAGAACATGGTTCGCAATAAAATATTTGTTGAGTTCAATGAAATATTACTGATTTAATATCAAGAATTAGGTAGTTAAACGACTTAAAATTTACCTACATGTTAGATAATGTAATTTGAGTATTATGTGAGGAAATTTTAAAAAGGGGAGATTGTAATATCATCAGGACAATGAATTTTCAGCCGTTTTTACACGTTTGTTGAACAGGACTTTAAAACACATTTTTAAATCAATGGCATTTACTATTCAAACTGCTAAAATTGGAATCAAATTCTATTTATCTATATATACATTTTCAAAATATATTTCTGTTCAGTTCCCCTTTTGCATGAGAATTGCTTAAGAAAGAATGATGCATCAAACTCGAGAGCAGTGCTCGTTTATTGTGACAGGGCTGGAAGAGTTATAACATAAATTTTAATCAGATTTATTATGAAATAAAATGATGAAATTAAATATTAATTATACTAAATATGAAATATTTAGTTAAGGCAACTCACATATGTACACAGTAAAATTCAGCATATATCTGTAATGTTTTCAATGCCATCTTTGTTGCTTTTTTGTTACTGTTACTCGCTGTAGTGTGTCGCAGGATACCCTCTAGGTGATAGTTCATGATTACTTTTTGATAAATAATTTGTTCTTATTGCGAAATAGGAGCACTATTTATCAATCTGTAATAGAAGACGTGAGGAAATTCTGTCTTTTTTTTAAGGCAAAAATTTTTGAGGCAAAATATCCAACAAGAAGTTTGTAAAAACTTAAAATCTGTATTTTACAAGAAATTATATCAGTTGCTTTCCCCGATTCAAATAAAATGCGTACTCCCTCAGGTCTGATGAAATCGAAAGATCTCAAACGGTGCAAATCATTACAGAAGAGGAAGTCAGTCATATCAGCCCATGTAAATAATTAATTCAGGTGCACTTCAAGATACGGTATCTTTTTCATCAGTAGAGTAGTTCGATGTAATTTTGCATATGGAAGCGATTCAAACAGTCAAACATTTCAAACTGTTTCTAGACGTGTTGGTAAAACTGCGATGTTTCCGCGTGCAAGTATTCTGTTTGAAAGGCAAACGGGCTTGGTTTGTAACTGGAAGAATATGTTCTGTAGTCTGTCTTTTCTTCTTTCTCTTGTCGGAGAACACCACAACAAGAATTTTTACGGCTAGTTCAAAATATCAAAAAATGCGAACTCTATTGAACAATGATTATATAATCAACAATATTCAGATTGGAGTAATAAAGAAACACTTAGAACTGCGGTGTTTTGCTCATTTTATCACAATATTATTTCAAGAGAAGTGATTTTAATATAAATTAACTTATCTCAACTTGGATGTGTAACGTTTGATTAATTTTTGATTTGTGAAATCACGCCCAATTAATTGCACTTTATTTTTCGTTTAATTAATAATTTTCTAGATGACGGGCTTAACAAAATAGAACTGGTATAGATGGAACTGTTCCTTGATAGATGAAAAATGTTGTGAAAATTCATCCAAAAATTTGATCTCCGAAAAATTATTTTAATAAATTATACTCTTAATGAAAAACCATTTAATTAAATAATAATTATTATTCAACATACTAAAACGATGGAATGCTACAATAATGTGAACCACATTAAGAGTGTTTAGAAGAAAAAACAAACAGAATTAATAGATGGAAACTGTAACTATTCCCTCTTGATTAATAGCCTCGTAATCGGAAGATTTATCCTCAAGATATAAAACCACATCTAAATAGTGGCGGTCGGTTTAAAGATTGGGTTCCCTCAACTTGTCAACTATAAATATTATTTGATGATCAGATTTTATCTGGTTAAGGTATGGGATTGTCTATAATGCTATAGACGTATAAATTAAAGGGCATGACAACAAAAATTCGCTTCCGTTTTTTGATATCAGAGTCCATAGATGATTAACATCAAATGCCACTAATGCTTTGAATATGAAAAAATACAGGGTGGTAGACTTTAATACGAAAATAATTTGTAATAGAGCATTAAACTTGGCATTGATCGGGTTTCTTTATTTCAGATAAACAAGTCCGCGCTGCCCGTGCAATGTTTTAGATCAATTGAAAATCATGCCATTTATATACAGGGATATTCTTATACTGACATTTCCTATATTGTTGTGCAGAACAGTCCCTAGAAGTTTTATTCCATTCTGTATATATGGACAGTACAGATTTATGTACCTTAAATAATGAAGACTGATTAATCAATACCAACTTACATGCTCGATTGTAAATTGTCTTTCTATTGATATCCGAAAGGAAAATTTAGTATCGATCATATTAAGATTTATATTTAAAATTAATTGTGGTGAATATCTCCAAAATGCAAATATCTCTCTTTATAATATGGATTGTTGAATGAAATGTTTCAGGGTGTGTACAACGTATGACCATAGTTTCGTGATGACTTGAGTTTTGATTGTTGCTTGTCACACATTGTTGTCTCTATTGACTGAGCATACAACGACATTTTCTATAACAGAAAATATTCTTTCAAACAAAATAAATATTTTGGATTTATATTTTTTCCTCTTATATTACGATACACTTGTGACATTAATCCAGATTTAGTTCTACACACAGTCCACTAAAGCCATCCATCAAATTTGTAAGATAGAAAAATGATACTTTGTTTGTGATAAGCCGCTCGATTTAGATCGCCCCCGATTTTTGGCCACCATGCTTCAAAGTGTTCTTCAAAGAAGTAAAGCCACAATTAAATATCGAGCAACCATTTCAAGTGCAAAGTCAATAATTAAGCGATACGCGTATTTATTATAACGAGTGTAATGTAATTTGAGTTAATTGGCTTATGTCTACAACGCTTTATATTGTATAATTAATGACTAGTTTTTGTTACGATTAGATATTCTTGGATGTTTCTTGCTTTGGTATAAATTATTTAAAGGCTGTGAGTCTTAGCCAGTTTTTTTTGGAGACAAATTAGCTATGGATGAATTACGGCAGATGATCATTAATAACTTAAAATTAAACTTAATTGTTTCGTTTGCTTCTATTATAATTTATAATTTATCTGAAGGTATATTTACTATTATATATATTATATAGAGCAGATTATTTTATGGTTATTAGATTTCGTTGTGGACAATTTTTTCAAACTATCCATAAAAACTTCAAATTTGACTTACCTTACGCAGAAAATTAAGTAACATATAGTACGGTTTCTTTCGTACTAACATCATTACGAGCAAATCAGCTGTATGATTTTCTTGTTCCACGTGTTCACTTTAGCCTGAGAACTTAATAGAACCTAACCACTGTAGGATTCCCTTCTCTGAATGGTTTAGAACAGCACCAGGACCTTGATGAATCTTTTTCAAAATAAATTCTCGCCGCTGACGAAGCAACATTGAGCCGAAATGGAATTAACAATTTAAAAAATCCGCATGTTTGGTGTGTCGATAAGCCTCAGGCAATTGGGAGAAGTAACTTTCAACACCACTTTTCCATAAATGTGTGGGTTTGTAAACCGATTACTTGTTTGGCTGTACATTTTACAAAACCGTTTGACGAGATAAGTTAATTTACATATGCAAATTTTGCAAAATAATTTGATTGATATGTAAGCATTAGATTGATAATGTTCCGAAAAGTAAACACTTTTGCAGTAGAGAACCTTACACAGAGTTATCAAGTTTTTAGCATTGTCTCCTAACTTCTTAACATTGGTACTATTGACTCTCTTACTTAAGGTACCAAAATACTTTTGCGACAATCTGTTTTGATTGCGTCCAATTTCATTGCTTTGCTAAAGCGACCTTCATTAAATATCATAACACTCTGATTTGTTGCAATCGAAACTCACGATTCGTTGGTTTCGGCTCGGTTTTAATCGCGCTTGTATGTTGATTAGTAATCAAAGCTATTTGATTCAGTACTCATTTGTATACTTATCAATACCAAGGCGATGGTTTATTTATACAATTCAAGGCAAAGATCAAATAGGTTTTCAATATCAGGTGGAAATTTCTGTTTTAAATGCAGGATTTTTTTAAGTCCATTTTCTTTCTGGAATTCCGATGTTCGTCAGTTTAAACTCTACTAATGAAAATTACTAAAAAAATGCGAAAATATCGGTTACTTACCAGAAACAATATTGAGTAATTTTGCCAGATATAATACATTACTTGCATGATAGGACTTTTAATTCTTAGATCTTGTGTTTTATGGTCATAAACCTAGTAGTGGATTCTCATTTGTGAATGGAAAACTCAAAATAATCAAACTAAAACGCCGACTAAATCTTATTTAATATAAGACAAAATAAGGCGTTAAATATTGGCACGCGAGTAGCAAATTCATCATCGTTTAATATGATTGTAAGTTGTTCTAATATTAAAACTCATCTGTTTTCTTTTGGGTCTTACTTTGCAGACATAATTAGTATACAGAGACATACAAAATATTCTGTTTCCTTATGGCTGCAAATGATTTCTTCTACTAGTAAAGGTATCTTTGTTCGGTTCAGAAATGTTTAAAAAAATCTAGAAATTCTCAATTGACTTCCTAGTCCGATCTTTTTAATCTGAAATTAAGTTCTAATTATAAAACCTGTATCTGTATTTTTATTTTTTATCTCATAAATTATCGAAGTTAACACTTTGTGTTTCAGATCGTCAACCTGGCGTCGAAGAAGATGACGATTCACAGGATCCAGGAAGTTCGAGGGCGCAGTATGTTTCAGCCAATTGTGTGGTATTCACGCATTATCAGGGTGATGCTGCATCTGTGGTTGATGAGCACTTTAATAGAGCACTAGACAAGACTGCACCACACACGAAAGGTAAGTGATTATTAGGTGTACTCGTTTAGGAATGAAATTTTCGTTTTAGGCCTGTGGGGCTCCACATTGTTGAACTTGTTATTCAGTTGTTTATACCAAACGTACTAATTTATTACCGAAAGCTACGCTGTCACGAATTTTTTTCCAAACAAGAAATTCTACAAAACGCCAGCTGGGCATTACATTGTATCACAAAAAGCAGCAGCATACATACAAGCTTAATGTCCTTTCGAACGTACGACAATACAAATGAGCTCTATATGGCGCCAAAAATTTAGCATGCATAAACACATTGATATATGATCGGCCATTAGTCAAGACCAGTTTTGAACGAAAACACAGTCGCAGGGGACACATTATAACATTATCCCGAATAAATCACCACTTATTTATGTCAGTTCGCGACTACTAATTACCAGCATAAATACATCAGATTTTAGAAATATATGGTTGCCCTACCGAGATTCCTATAGAGGGAACAAAGCTGTTCAAAAATTTTAGTTTTTGTCTGCATTTTTGCTTTTGTATTAACATAATTAAATGGTAAGGTTTTCACACAAGAGGTTTTGATGAAATATTTCATTTCAAATCATTATCTAGGAGCTCACTGGTCACTGATAACATGACTATTTGCGCTTGTGAAAGAGGGGCGTAAAGAGAAAACTCATTGTTCAATTGAGCATTTTCAAGGTATTTTGGTAGCCTCTGTTGTCATTTTCAAGATTCTGCTGATTTGGCAGTACCAATATTGTACATACTTTCCTGACTGTGTTTCAATTCCAAATCAAAATTAATTCCTGGGTTTCAGTCATTTATTGTCTCTGTTTATCAATTAAAATACCAGTGTATTTTTCCACTTAAGGCTTAAAGTAGCAACAACGCTACACATAAAAACTGATTATGGAAAATACACCGAAACGTATTTTAATTGATAAATAGAGACAATAAATGACTGAAACCCAGGAATTAATTTTGATTTGGAGCACCAATATTCAAAGTTCGTGTGACTTTTTGTGACAAAACCACCATAGTTTACTCACGCACGTAGTCATAACTGAATCGAGTTGCCAATTCTCTATCCAATGATATAAAAACGAACTGTGTGGCTCAAATGGTTCTCAAGCATCGATAAAAAAGGTGGCGTCATGTTTCAGTCGATTTCACAATTAAAAAAACAGCAAAACTAAAACTGTTGACTACTTTTTTACAATAAACATAAAACTGGAACCCATATTTGCAAAACGCAAACGGTGCTTTGGAGACAAGCTTGAGATGAGCTTGATGTAAAAATGCAAAGCCGCCCAAAATATTATCAAAGTTTAAAAGTTTCTTGTGAAAAATTCAATGGTTTAATCGGAACCAAATCCACACTATCGGTAATCCCAAAGCTTCTTATATTGAACACTGGAACTCAAATTTCCATATCTGAAGCGGTTCTTTAGCGAAAAGCTTGAGATGAGCTTGATATAAAAATACGAAGCCGCATAAAATATTTTTAGTTTAAGTTTAAAAATTAACTACGAGAGAACCAATGGCGCAATCGGTACCAAATCCACCCTACGATTCAATTGAAGAACAAGGGACTAAAAGTTTTGCATGTACAGATTGTAAAATATTTATAGATTGGAGATCATTATTACCAGCTTTCTTCAAGCCGGCGCCCCATCCTCCATTTTCTACCCTTAATCCTCAAGAAGTACATCACATAATCATGAACTTTTTCGAGGAAAAAAGACACCGAACTACGGAACCGACATGATTATTTAATTGTTCGCCCTTAATTTATACTTAACTTGGCAGTTCGATTTCAGCTTGTTTATTGTTAACATTTTTGTAGAAAGTGCCTGTTCGCACGGCAATATTTCTAAAGGCAAATTTTACGTTCCAGTTTAACGAAAGTCATCAACCAAACGAAACACGCTCCAAGTGCCGATCATTCACTAATTTAATTTCAAATTTAGGGCCACTTTTGTCTGACCATATTTGTCTGAATTTCGTTCAGCTGCAGTTATGCACAACCCTAAAACTAAAATTAATTAGCGAATTAACTTTGTTTTTCTAAAAATATTGCCTAAACAAAAAACCGCGAAACAATAACTTAAAAACGAAAATGATGCTCAACTTCCGAGTGATGATGGAAATCAACGAAATTTTAACTAATTGAAAACGTCCGTTAACTAATTAATAACCTAAAAGTTCTGATTTCAAGCATTATTTCGCCACAAGCGCAATTTGAGGTGCCACGCAGTGAGGCGCGATGAGTTATAACTCATCAACTCATAGAACGGGATAAACTCAAATGCAAAACTCAACACAGTGTTACATCCAGGCTAATAGCTTCTGCCAACAATAAATTATTTTATTATTAAATACGAGTAGATAAATGTTATACGGTATTATTGTAAATTCATATTATTATACTCGCTGTTTTATTATCTCCGCTGACGCCTCGTTCGAAAATCTTAACATCTGATATGGTACTGTTTCTTACAACAGTTATATTATGAATCAGTATAAGCCATTCTAAAATCATGCACGGCGAGTAACGTAACTGTTGCAATGAGAAAGAGATGATGCTGCATCAGGTTTTCTCATTAGTTGACTCCTCAAGCATTTATTGATCGTTGAATTTAACGAAAAAGCTCGTTAAATGGCAAGTTAGCCGTTTTATGCGGAGGAAGCTAAAATTGTTAATTAAAACCAGTCAGATTCACGTCATTTCCGACTGCAGAGTATCAAGATATGTCCGAGAACCTCCGAAATTATTTTTAGCCAACTTTGAGCTGCTATATTCAACTTATCTGTAGAAGCTATTTTTTGGCAAACGTGAATGTGATAAGGGATTAAAAGTTTTTCTAAAAATGCTTTCGTGCTGGTAATAATTGGTGCAAACCCTTTTCTCGATTTCTGTTGATCGACTTGTCAATAACTAGGTCTTGTTGGGAAATAAATTTAATTGACAAAATTCCTATAATTATTAGTTTAATCTAATTTTCCATCAATATTTATTAGGTAATGACAATCTGAAATAAAATTACTGCAATTAAACAGCAATGGCGATTTTTATTTACAATCCCATGGATAATTCTAGTCATATTTCAACACATTATTGAACCATATAAATGCCGAGGCTACTGGGAACGTGCAATGTAATTTATAAGATTCAATATAAAACTATTTCTGGTATTTTCTATTATTCATTTAACAAGCTGTGATTATTTATAATATATTAGTGATATTAACGGATAAGTGGTTTGGAATGACGATTTACCGCTAATAATATGTGCAATATCGTTAGTTTCATAGCATATCGGTAGAGGTATAAATTAAATTGTTGTGGATACCCACTTAAGTATTTTTGTGCTTAAGTCGATTTATTAACTGTTCATGTATATTGCTAATTATTTCGAGCTTTGCTTGCATTTTAATATGCTTAACAATTTTATGAAAAATCGATATGGAAAATGAGTTGTGAAATCGGTCCAAATCTAGGAACGTTTTCTAGTAAATCAAAAAGAGGAAACAGAGATTAAGGCGTAGATAAAAAAGGTTCCCGACCTGCCAGTCAAGGTGGTATATTAACTCGTACTCATTGGATGGTACCCAAAAGTGGTTTACTGGTATCTAAATGTAAAGAGAATTATTTTATTACATTGACTTGGAAACGTCCTATATACGAATTTTATCGTTTGTCGAGCATATTTTTTATTAGACGGTACTATTACGGATTGAGCGCAAATATGACGACAGATAAATACGTAGTTTGCGAAAATATGGATATGGAGATAATGTAAATGAACAGGTATGACGCAAATATTATTTTAATTGGTCAACTTTTTTGGCAAATTCTTAGAAATGTTTGGTAAATTAACAATGGCAAACTCATAATAAGATTTATTCTTTCGCGCTAAACTAAAACGCTTAATTCAAAAACGATACAAAGCAGGTTAGAGTAGTGGGTAGAAAAAGTTCCGAAAAAATCACGGTTTTTAATCATGAGAACATCGTCATATTTTTCTGGAATAGTGTGAAGTCGGCAGTAGTAAGAGCATGAAAATTTACCAGTAGCTAATTCCAAAGCATAAGAGACACACCAAACAGCTACAGTAAAGTAAACAAATAACTTTAACATGAAATTTGGTTTTGTTGATATATGCATAAATAATTAATAGATAGTCGATGGAAAATCAAAGCCAATAAATTATAGCATCAGATTAACTTAAGAACGCCATAAACCAAAACTAAAGCCCGTAGGTTGGAGAGTGGCGTAAAATTATATGCTATTACTTTATACGAGTAGTACCCTCAGGTCATAATTATCATCGTAAAACCAACATATTACCATAATCCGCATTTAATAATGATTAATCGCCCATTGCAATTCTTCCTCTCCAAGGTTTCCAGAATACAATGGAGGCAACGATATACGCATATTTACTAGTTCATTTATTTAAATAAATACCCTTTCTGCCTAACAAGGAGCCATTCGTCAAGGGCATCAAGTATTTATCACCAGAACTGGGCTCTGCGGTGGGAATCAGCAGCCCCAGCGGCAACCTCAAAGGATAATCGACAATATAAAAGTGAAGTTAACATTCAGAAATAAAAAAATAATCAGATAGCATTTTATATAAATCACGAGCCCAGTCAACATTCTAAACTGCATCTTCCGTTTCTGTTTCTCTTGCTCAGAGTTCGCTGCAGGTTCTTCTTTTCGGTCTTGCTCAAACTGGTTCCTGTCGTTTGGTCACCTTTGGCTGCTCGATCGAGGATTCATGTTAAGAGGATAAGATTCCTTTTATCGATGCCTTACCGCTTCTTTGGAATTTGCGCATCAACAACGTCATTGGTCATTGGCTGCCTTAATTGGTCCAAATTTGTTGCGTTTTCGGTCTTTTTTGCGTCGGCTTCATTGGCGTACAATAAAACGTTTTTCGTCAAGAATGTCTTCTCTCTTCTTTATTATATTTCTCTTCGCTCTTTTTCTTTTAATTCTTAAAATTATTGACATCTTCTAGTTGCTTATTGACACTTAAATTTAATTTCACGCAAGATTGAGGAGCAAAAGTATTTCATTCAAAACTCCAATCAATGAAATTTATTCTATATGTCTCCTTTCCTCCATTTGTTTCATTTTTTGGTTTCCAGATTTTATTTTTCGACTAGCAATAACCAAACTTTAAGTAAACCTTTACAAATATTTCATCATTGCAGTAAGAAAAAAGCGTGTATTGCTTCAGTGTTTCCTGATTTTTTAATTTTATACCACTCCAAATTCATGCATCAAAATATGAGTTTACTAATAAAAAAAAATCTGCAAGTTTTTGAAACTGATTCAGTGTTTCTTGAATTTCTATAAGTCGGATATACCTATGCATAGGTGTATTTTTTTTGGGCAATATGTCATTGGTATTTCCTTTGCAAATCAAGTGGTGCCATCGAAATACAAGCCTATACATTCTGTCCTTAATAAATTAAGCAACTAGTACTAATTAAGCATGTCTCAATTCCATACTTATTGGTTACGACGCTTTATATAATTATAAATTTCGAATAGAAACCTTCTTATTGGTTTTTGCCATATATTTTATTTGCATTCTTGCTGTAATAGCAAACGTGACTATTCTTCTTTACAGTGATTTCGCAAGCCTAGCGGTCTTCAAATGCTGATCCTAATTACCGCACTCGCTAATTGTGTGTAATTTTCTTTTTATGTAAATGGTTGTCATACCATATGGAAGGATTTTATTATTTCGGCGTAAAATGTGTTGTAAGCCAGGTCTAACTCTCGTTTTTCTTCTACATATATTCTCTATTTGGTGTCTATGCATTAAGATTTCTACGCACCGTAAATGGTATTCATAATAGATGTAGCGTATAGTTTATTACGTTTATCTGATGTAGGTTATGGAATTTTATATACGTGTTTACAACGTTGTTGTTGTATGAAATAGCAAACCTCATTTAAGTAATATATGGCTTGATTGATCAAAATCGAGTGTTTTTGCCATTTGATTATGACGTACACGCGTCTAGATAATTCGATTTACTCGGAATGTGCGAATTTATTATATAATTATACTCTCGCCGATCACTTTCAATTGCCACTGATCCACAATATCCGCTCTGTAATATTCTAATTCATTCTATCATAATATTTTGCCATTTTATTTGTGCGTCAAAAATTTTAATACCAAGCAAAATTTTCGAATCCTTTGGAAAGTATCGTTGTTCCAAATACTTTCATTGAGAAACATATTTATTTATTTATTCAACCAGAAAACAAAATGTCTTTACATCAAACATTTTGACCAACTGACATCCTACAGAGATTGAGCATCTGTTCGTCGGTCGAAACGAAAAACCAGCAAACTAACAAAAAAAACTTAAAAACAATTCATAAACTTTCCATTCAGTAACTACAACATTCATATAGCATTTCTCTTAATTTTTTATTTTTTTAAATTTTTTATATATTGGCTCTGGGCCAATTCTTTAATTTCTTCTTTATATTTATATTAGACTTATCACTAACAACAGTAATTTTGCGATCCTGCGGTAGACTATTGTACAGTTTTATAGCTGTTAAATAGCTATTCTTTTACTTACGGTTTTGTTAAACTCAGGTACCTGTACTGTATTCCGTGTTTTACTTTTTGAGTTCATGAATTCACCTTTGAGATTCATTAACAGACATTAAAATTTAACAAACATTAAAGATTTATGGATAGAATTATGGAGATGTGGAAAAACATTTATTTTATGGCGAAATTCAGACAGTTTATATTTGTAAACTAATAATTATTTAAAAGGTTAAAAAGAGCTTAATGAAGATCCGATCTAATTGTTCGAGAATGATTGTATATGAAAATTTATAGTATTAAATCAACGCCTTTTTGAAATAATACATTATGTACCGTATATCCTAAAAAGATGAGCCAATTTGAACCTAAATCATTGTTACACACTGTATACTTTTGATATTTCCGTCTAAATTTTATAGACTATTTACATAGTAAATAAATAAACTCAATACAGATGTTGCTTTTTCTATTAAATTACATTTATTTAAACTATCAATAATAATAAAATGCAATTATTGCCAAAACCGTTAGAAATAGATATAAAACTTCATACACGAAACGTGTTCAGAATCTTTGGGAGAACTAAAATTTGTTTCAAATTTGTTAAAACTGTAATTTAGAGGGCTTAAACATAATCGCATTTACAATAAGTGACTTAATTTTTACTTCTGAAAAAAACTGGAAGTGTCACATTGAAAACATATTTTAGGTGTAAGACAAAGCCGCTTGAGCGTGACCAGAAATTTTCGGAACTATTGAAGTGTGTTTTTGAAGTTACGGATAACAGCCCATATTCGTGAGACACCCTACCCTATATATTCTTATATATTTCTGAATCAATCCATGTCAACCTGACTTCCTAGAAGGAACGCGCACGTTGTCGAAAGTACACATAAAAATTATTTAATCATGATGTTTAGTCAACAAAATGTTAAGAATTTAATCACAGTCAATTCAGGGAAGTAGATAAGAATATAATAAAACATTCCGTCGAGCAACGGTTATCTAGAATAGCTAACTGGAAAATCAGTTATAACATTTAATGTTGTTCTGTTCGTATTATGCAATGTTGTTTCCTTGTTTTTGCTTTGATTGGTGTTTAGAGAACTTTTTTTCAAAAAGGGCCATTTTAAACTGAAATATATTTTTTCGGATTGAAGCAACCAAATACAAAACCAAAAGGATTCATAAAGAAATCATCATCAACCTTAGAACATCTAGGAATTTATTGTTGAGAATCGAAGGTTTATTCATAAAACATTTTTGCGTAGGTAGATAAGTTGTTAGTGAATTGACAATTTGTTTAAATAATTGGGAAACCCAAGGATTTACAAGTTCTAGAGGTTAACTTTAGTACAACTACTAATGTTGATATAGTTTCTAGTATATAGTTATTAAGGGATAGGCATGGGCTCCAGTTCTGTTATGAAACGCTTCCTTGTTCATAAAAGCTATACTTGAAACATTGCTATTTATAGTTCCTTGTTCTTGAATAGTGTATTGTATTATTTACAATGTTGACCTATACTGATAGTTTGTCTGGTGATCATTGAACCACTTTAAAGTTGAAAAGCTTAGAAGCTTTAAAGCTGAAACAAGTTGAAAGTATATCTCCAAGTGCTCACATATTCGCGAATTAAACTCAATTTGTGATCAATCATTTACACCCGACTCTTCAGTAAGCTTCAATAACTTTTTTGGCTTCGTTGGTTAATCCGCTATTTGCGGGATTAAGGAATTCATTATCATGTTCACTGTTCACTGTGACACCCAGGAAAATGTATTGCATAGTGAAATCGGAAAAGCTCTGTGCGACGAAATTTGAAGAGCATAAAATATAATTCTTCGTTGTGAATTGAAATATATTTTCTGTATTTTTCTCGAAAGCCCCAGTAATAGATACCTTAACAGGAATTTTGAACCAGCTGGAACCTTTGAACCAGTGGGAAATAGAAAAGCCCTCAAACATTTTTAAGTTAAGGGTAAAAATTAGACCAATTCACATAAGATACATCAATGAATTTCGATAAGTTAAAAAATCGATGTTGACTGGTTCTGGTGTTTACGGAATTTATAGCCCAAGATCGTCTGGTATGAGTATCGCCACACTTTTATTTCCAAAAACCATGAATTCGTTTGAACATGCACTGGTCAATTCGGAGAAAATTGTTTCAAGACTTTGAGACTTTCAACTGCAATTTGCTTAGCAATGTTCCTGATGATTCTGATGACACCTATTCCTGTATTTTTGCGCTACACTTGCCAGACAGAAAGAAACACTAAATTCATGAGCTCTGGAGATGGCTTAAATTTAGCCGAAATCTTGATCCAAGTAAAAGAGTTTATTTTCTGTACTTCAAATTTTATTAAATTATTTAACAACATATTTAAATGAAATGCTGCGCTTTTTAAATTCCGACTACGTGATCATCTTATGTCCCTTGTGCTGAGAAGAATCTCATCCTTGTCAAGTTATTCATCAAAAAGTAATCCAATAATACAGTTAATATGGTTTACAATGTACGTGTGATATAATCCTTGTTCTTGATTTACATCATACATTTTCCTGCATACGTATTATTGACAATTTTTTTGTATCTTCCAACATTCTGATTAAACCGGAACGATTCACTATGACTCGGTAATCATTCAGCGACTGGTTTGAAATATAAGCTAAAAAATAGGGGTACTTCTATAGAATATCCAGAATATATTCCAGTAGAATTTTTTTTTCAGTAAACCCACTGCTGCCATTTGGCTTTGATAATCGACATATTTAATCGTGAAAGTAATGGAACAATTTATGATAACACATTAAACATTTGGTTAAACGATGTGTTCTTTAAGTCACGGTCAAAACTAGTTTATGATGCATATGCTGGCTTAATGCCGAGCTTCAACTTGATATATTTAAGCCAAACAAACTGCCTCAAAAATGCGTTAATTGCATATGTTTCTGTTACAAAATATGGTAATTTGAGTCCTGTGTATAATAGAATATAAATTCTTCTCCTCGAGAACTGCTACTGCTGTTAGCCCTCCAAACGTTAACATCGAGAAATAACTATCGTTATTTTTATGCATGAAAAGAAGACTCGGTAAGCAGGATACTTATGAAGTCAAATCGAGACGACTTTTACAAGTATTAGACTGATGGCAGAAGTTTGTGGTTTCATACATTTAAAAACTGAAACACTATTAACGATTGTGTGATTAATGTAGATAACTGCCAAAAGAGAACAGTGTTATATTGTATAATACTTTTGTCAATAATACTCCCATATTTTTAGCGATTGAAACAGCAAGCGTTAAGTGTTTTATTCAATTCCAGGGAGTTCTCCAATGTCCGCCCGAAATTTCCCCCCCTCCTTCTGGGACAGCCAACACTACAGCGGAGCAGGAGGAGGACACCATGGCTCCTCCGCTGCAGACCTTTATTCGGACCATTATCATCCTGTGGATGGATGGTACCAATACAGTCAGCACCATCGTGCCGTGCACGATTACCATCATCATAACATGGCCGCTCAGTATGGTGGTTTACTCTTACCAGGATCTCGACTTCATATGAGCTCACATGCCCCTTGTAAAGGCATGGACTGGCAGCATCCCTCCATTGAATCTCCCTACTCATCTTATCCTACAATGTCAGGTAAGAAATTATCTTGTATTTTAAATCTGGATTCTTCCATTTCGAAAACGAATTGTTTTGAAACGTACACATCATTATAACGCAGTAAAAGGAGTTTTTTTTTGTGGCATATGAATCATTTTGGAGAAGTTCAGGTTTGCAGTGCGCTGCATGAATGAACCTTGTAAGTGTTTTTATTTAAATCGTAATTAGCATCTCCCGATGAGATTTAGTTACGCGTTAAACGCTTCAAATAAAGTACAATCTCACTAGTCCGGCACTATTGAAAACCAGAAGTTGCCGGATTATTGGAATGTTTGCATTACCGGATTATAAAGAAAAAATCATAATAAAAAAATAAAGCATTTCAGAAAGAGAAAACATATAATATAAATATGTACGTACATATTTGTTTTATTGTTACTGAAACATATCTGAAAATTAACATGAAAGTACATACATACATAAGTTTTAAAACACGTAACTGTTAATTGAGGTCGGCTTTTGTGCAACTGGCGGTCTTTGCTTAAAAACCTTTTCTCACATGTTTCGAATAATTATAATATCTTTGGCCGATATGCTGTTTTTTTCTGCCCATGTTATGCAGGTACTGAAACAATTAAATGCTTTACCTGATTTACCTTTAACAGTTGTAGTGGTTGGTGCCTCCAGTAGTTCCACAAGGCTTTCTTTTTCTTGAACTGCTTCACACATTCCTTCATCTGTCATAATTTGCTCTGTTTCTTCGATCCCTTCAAACCAATAATTCAAATTTTCTTCACTTGTCTCAAATCCTCTTTCTGATAGATTTTGCTACCAATAGGCAACAAGTAGGTTATCTTCAGGACCCAAGATCCCATTCTTCTCTTGCTGATACAGCATTATTGGACAACAGTCTCCACTCTCGTCTGCATTCTAGATTTGGTCAGTAAGAAGACCCAGTTCCTCTAGTTTGTCGTTAAAATCATGGATAAATGGCTGTGATGCAGATTTGTCGCTTCATTCATTCATAGACACGATATGGTTAACAGACGGATACCAAATCGCGTTTTGAATTTATCCAGTCACCCATCGCTGGCACGAAAATAATATTTTTTTGGTAATTTTTTAAATAAAATTCCATTCCTTTTATGATTTTTTCCTGTATCGGTCTATCGAAGTGCCGGATTAGTGAGATTATACTGTAGTCATGCATTGAACGATTTGCTTTATAATTTAGCTTTCGGTCAACAAATTAAAAAAAAAGTTTTATGTAGCTTAATTGAGTCAGTAGAGCTTTTTATAACAATTCATTTTTATTAAATATTACATGCGGCTTGCAAAAAGTTTCTTTTTATTTTAGGCAAATCTGTGCTTTTGAATTAGTGATTCATTGGTACAGTGTTAAGAAAATGATTAAGTTTCGTTTACAATAAATACCAGTTTTGGTTTTGGTGAATATTTTAACGAAAAATAAGTCTCTTGTCGATCTAAGCCATCATGAATATATGGACACCGTATCGATTTTTATTATTACATTTAGTTAATACCAATGGGACAAGTTTTACGAAGGTCCAAGTGACGCACTATAGATACTGTGCATAATCATTGTCTTGTCTAAGAGTTAGAGGGTTTCCAAAGGTTTTTCATATACCACATTCTACTCGAGATTATTTAAAACAATAGATGCAAAATATTTTTTTAATATTTCGTTTACCATCACACTCACGTTAATCAATTGAAATTGTGTAAGTACTGTAAACTAACTAAAACAAAGTCTTTCCGATTGCTTAGTAATTATATTAGATCCCAAAATGTTGTTCCTCTAGGAAAAACCTCAAAACTAAGGTATAACCAGCAAAATCGTAGTTAATTAAAAGAATCTCAAAAGTAATTCCCAAATGTAAAATAAGGAGAGTATACGAGATAGAGTATCAGGTACGAGAGTACTGCCGGACAAGCGAATCTGTAATAAAACATGCCATCCGTTTTAATTATTATTAACTAAAAGAAATGATTGAAATACATCAAAAGTTACGTAAGTAACCTAGATATGAATCAGTTATTCGCATAAAAGTGCTTACGATATTAGAGTAATCGTCTTCAATTTGTCATTTCAAGTTTCCAAGTCAGAAATGAGGAAGCGGCATGCAAAGCGTAATAAAATAAGATGTCACCTGCAGTCGTCTCTCATTAAATAAGAATAATCCAAATGCCGGATAGTTGACATTCTTAACGTTTAAGATCTAATAAATTTCTCAAAAAATACACATTTTAATTTTATACAAGCATTCTTAGAAGCACACGTGTTTAGAAAATGAATAGCAATTTTCATAAAAACTAGGTCACTCTAATCTAGGGCTCGGAATCAAACTCGAATAATTCGAGTATTCGAGTATTCGAATATTCAAAAAGCGAATAATTATGTCTAGTCATACGTAACTCGAATACTCGAATATTCGAATAAACCACTAAACGAGTATTTAAATTTCAGATTTTTAAAAATTCCGAGCCCTAATTCAAATACTCGAATATTCGAATATTCGTTAGATATTCCAGTATTCGAATAATTTTACTATTCGAATAAACCACTAAACGAATATTCAAATTTCAGATTTTTAAAAATTCCGAGCCCTGCTCTAATCTATTAGGACATTGAAAATTAGTGCAACGAAAACGTGTTTAATATAATTTCATCTAAGATAGTAGTATTTAAGTTAGAATTTGGAAATGGAAAAGTCTTTTAATCTGAAAAACAAAACCGTTTCTCTGTGCACTGTATCGATTTCCATACAACCTTCGTACGCTTGCCGAAATATCGTCTGTCGGTTGTGTATAGTTTTTGGTAATTTTGTGAGAAAAAGTTATACGTATCATATTTACTTATCGACACTGATTTATTCTGGAGCTTTTGTATTTGCAACTGCCTGCATCAATGTTCTATTAGTGCTACAAGATTAGTTCTAACAGTAGGGCCAATTAAATTTTTATTTTAAAACCAAGTGCGATACGACATTTTTCGTGAATCGGCTCATATTTTGATTCTGGAGCGCTTATTTAATTGCATGAACGTGTCGAATACAATACAATACAATACAATACAAGGTAGCTCTGCAACCCATGGTGGGTTTTGAATTACCTATGCTCCGCCAGACCAAAGCTTTTAGATTTGAAAAAGGTGTTTACAGAGAACAGACATCAATTTGCGACATGAACTCTGCCTTTTATTTCCTCTCTGACATCGTTATCGGCTGCAATTGTAGCTCCCAGATATTTGAAACGCTCCACTCGTTATTATCGTAATTATAAGTGTCTATTGTTACATTCTGACCTATTCTATACCTGCGCTTCTATCTGTTTATGCACATATAGTTGGTCTTTTCCTCCTTAATATTGAGTCCTAATTTTCAGGTAGCCTTTTCTATGCTATGAAAGATACCTTTTTCTGTTGGTGTGCAGTCTCCAATGATATCAATGTCATCTGCATATGCTAACAATTATTTCAGGCCTCGTGCCTGCTTGAATTTCCACCGACCTCGTAGCTTTCTCTAGGACGATATTAAAGAGTACGCTACGTGTCTTAAACCCGCTACGTATCTTAAAACCATCGAGAGCCTGATATTTATTCGCACTCTGGATTTTCCGTCCGTCTTTCATACTTGCCTTCGTTATCTGGATGAGTTTTCTTCGCATTGCGAATTCGGCCATTGCATTCCACACCTGGGATCTTTCAATGCTGTCGTATGCTTGCCGAAAATCTATGAATAAATATGGACAGTACGGTTGAACTCCCCTCCTTCCTCTAGTAGTTGCCCGAGGGTAAAAAGTTGATCAATAGTGGAACTATATTCAAATTCAAAAATAGCCAATTCCAATCAATATTGGCCAGGACTTTGTAAGCTGTGTTGATGAGTGAAATTCACCTGCAGTTTGAGCAGTTTGACTTGTAACCTTTTTTGTGGATTGGTATTATGATGCTTTTTTGCCATTTTGTTGGTATTGGCCCCTCTTTCCATATTAAAATAATTAGTTGGTGTAATTGCCTGTACGATTCACCTCTGTACTGTAATAGTTCTGATGTGATGTTATCCGTTTTAGTGCCTTTCGAATTTTTTCTATAGATGGTTCTTCTACATGGAGATATTCTGTGTGGTGTGTATTTTCAGGCAATGTTTTTTATCGGGTTCTATATTTAACAGATTTTCAAAGTAGTTTTTCCATGTTTGCAACTGCTCATGTTGGTTGATTATCATGTATACATTATCGCTTTTCAACATCGGGACCGACCTGGGCTGATATCGTCGTTTTTCGGATTTTATTGCCCTATAGAATTCTCTAGAAGCTGGTTTAGACCTGTTCCCTTCGTTCATATCGAATTTTCGCCGATCATATTCTTGTTTTTGTATTTTTATCAACTTTCTGGCTTCTTTTCGAGAGTTTGCATATTTTTGTCGGTTTTGAGGTGTATCGTCCTGAATTATGGCTTTTCGAAATGTATCTCTTTCTTGAATTAAACCATGATTTAGTCGTTTTCGTTTTGGTTGTCCCGATAGTTTCTTTCTGTTGTCTTTTGTTCAATATAGTTCCGCAAACCTTTAATAGCCAGTGTTCGATTTTCAATGAGTTTCTGTTCCAGTTCTGGTTCGTATTTTCGTTTTTCTACTGTATTCTGTAGGTTCTCTATGTTCCATTGTGCGGTCTGGTTAGTTTTTTGGAGATTGGCTTTTATCAGGAAATGATCTGTATCTCCGTCTACTCTTCTAAGGCTTCTTACATCTAGGACACTTATGTGTACACGTACGGGTCACATGGTAGTTGAATTTCGGTTTGTTTATGGATGCCCTTATGAGTGGATTTTATCAGCATGTTGTTAGCTGATGCTAATTCTATTAGTCTTTGTCCGCTGTCCTTTGATATATTGTGAATACTACGAATCGCTACGAAGGCGTGTCGAATACGTTCACGCGTATCGATGCTGGTACAATATTTTAAGAAACGAACCTGAGCATTTTGAAATTGTGCCAATTTCTTCAATAATAAACAGCATATTTTAGTAGGTATCCACATTCACATATTTTTATTTGATGACTATTATAGAAAATGACAACTAGTTAAGTGAGTAGGCTCGATATTATATTATGTCCAGTTTATCACTAAGGTGGAGTGGGGTAAGTGCATAAACTACTATACATAAAATACTAGGATGTTATGTTGCCATCGTGAACTTTATATGCGGCTAATTTAAGAAATCTTATAAATTAAAAATTTAAAAAAGTTAAACTTGGGGAATTTAAAAATTGATATGTAGACAATTTTGTATTGATTTGTCATTAACATGCACTCAACGGACATGAAATATATTTAAATTCATAATTATCACACATAAAATATATCGGATAAACTATATTTTTAATAGCCATTAAATAATTTTGTTGATTTTAGTCCCGCTCAAAATAGTTTACCGCTGTACCATATTTTGAGCCATTGTGCACTACGGAATAATCATTAGTTCCTCTCATTATCACCTTGGAACTAATATTGAGCTGTCATGAATAAATATCGTACAAATCTTTACTCCACTCAATTTTATGTTTTTTCTATAAAGTTTGTAAAGTTGAGTTCTCACGTGATTTGAATTGAGTGAAACCATAGTATTTTGTAAGACATTATTACCCACTACTCAGCTAAGCTCAGAGCTGAGCACACTGTTTAGGTCATCACTGATGTAATTTCTTACATTTTTGGGTTGTTCGAGATTACAAAGAAATTAATTAAAGTATTTTGTAATAAAAAGCACCAAAATCAAAACAGGATATTGATTAGGTACTTTTGATTAAAACATATATCTTAACATTGAAAATGCATTAGTATTCGGCTTTCATTTTCACTGAGGCTTTTCCTCGAACTGCTTTTCCCTGCTGTCACGAACAGTGCTGCCATGTTCATTTACTTGCGTTGTGGAGGATGGCAATTAGAGCGGTCCGAAGACAGGGGGAAAACAGAGGGGGGCAACTGTGGGCAGGATGACTCTCGCCATTGGTCATCGCCCAACCGTGGTCAAAGGAGTTATTGATCTCAGGGCCCACGCGGAATCATCTCTTTCTTTCTGTAGCGAAGATGCGGCTTCTGCTATAAATCGCCTGCATGTATTAGCAGTTTCCCAGCATTGTGTTTTATGTGCAGAATAATTGAACATTTCTATTCAGTTGTTACGTAAAATGGTATATGTTTTTTAAAATGGTTCTTAATTCCAAAGATAGTGAATAAAATTAAAGAAAGTAAAAGGCGGAGGTACATAAAAGGCAGGAATGCAATATATTCTGTGAATGGGGCTAGATAACATCAAGCTATAATTGCGGTTATACTTTGTGAGAAACGACGAAATTTGTCAAAATTTGCTGTAAAATTGAACACTAGTCTCAAACAGGGCCGCACTAGTTTTGAAACACCATCTGGAATTCTGTTTTTCCACAGTTCAGCTGAAATCTAGTCAATCTATTTAAATGGCGTGAAAAAAGGTCAGTTCTACTGGTATCTTCCAGCCAAAGATGCATATTATTTATACTTTGGGAAAATGTTGCTCATAATTATTTACAGTATATCAAAATGAACTATTACTGCAACTTAAAAGGTTTTTGCCAAAAAAAACACTCTTGTCACACTTCAAGACTAAGGAAAATATCTTTTCTATTGCAAAAACGAAAATATGTATTTTGTGTCCGCATGGATGGCATGTTATTTAAGAATTCGCTTACAAATTAGGGTCTTGGAAAAAGCAAGAAAATAATCTACACGCAGAAATTCATATAAGTAGATGGACTGGTTCTAGAATTATTTTCTAGATGGACTGGTTAACTTCAAATTTCCAAAAAGTCCTTTTGTAATATGATGCTATAGTGGCAAATCGGAAAAGCCGTCAGATTGAGTGTAAAGAACACTATAACTATCTATTTCTTTACCACTATAAATCTGTCTACTTTACGTATTTGAGCGAATTTAATACCCAAATAGCTGCAGAACTGTTTCACTTTCTAACTTTTATGTAACCCTTTGTGATGATGACAGAATCAACTTGCAGACATATTTCTTGTCTACAAGTAATTTTATATAGTTTAGGAATCATATTATTATTTGACCTTAAAAATGAGGTAATTTAGTAAAATACCACAGTCCTCCCGAAGTATCTTTGATCAATAAAATTATATTGGCATTATACTTCCTTAACGATCTCAATGTATATCGCACAATTTCAGCCAAAAGACTCTTTTGTTTTTGTTTGCAACTACAAGAGACTAAAAAATTAAAAAGTTGCCATATTGTAGTATGTAATGCTAAGAAAAAAGTACATTTTTGAAAAATCCTTCATGTCTTTAAACTTCCCTTACTTTACTGCATTGGGAGACGAAAAGGTATGATTCTTTAATTTCATTAATTCAAGTTAAATCTTGAAAATCTGATTTCATTAGACGTTGAAAGAAAATAAAACTGCTCGTAAACATCTGCAAATGCTCTTAAACGTCTCCAATCGAGCAAATAGGAAGCTTGAGAAGCATCGAAATCATCTAGCGTTTCTTTGGCTAGAAAACGTATATATTCGTATCAATCGATTGGAAACAAATGTATTTCCCAAACACATTTGCAAATGCACATTCGACCTAAATATGGCACCATAAAATTAGGCAATGTTCTGCATTAATTTCTTCCAGTTTGAAATATACCTCATTATGATGAGAGCCAACAAAACATTTTGTTATGATTTTGATCTTCCATTTCCGTGATCTTGAACTTGAGTTCTGTAGAGCAGAGATACGTTGTTGATAGAATGTCGGTGTTTTTTATTAGAGAATTGACAATTTCACTGACTTAATATTAGTTTACTAACCACATTAATGCCTGCTTTAAATTATGCATAGGCACATTGCTTCAAGGGAAAATACCCACTTTGTTTAATTTTGACAATACTTTTGCTTTTTTCACACAAATTCTCACCTTTCCATATGTAATCAATACCGTCGTTCGGGGTAAAGGCGGACGATTTTCTGTTTTTCCTTAATAAAAAGTATTATATTGAAACGAACATTTCCACTAAAATTTAGAGTCTTCCGTGTCTTCTTTGTCGCACTAACTAATTAAGCATTAAACACGGTTAGCACCTTGCAAGAGGCGTATTCTTATTCTTGTTAAGTGTCTCTTCTTCTTGTGAACTTAGGTACTGTCCGCCATGTTTCTTTGGATTTTTCATTTTTAGTATTCTTTTGTGTGCAACAGTCTCTTTTATAGTTTTCAAATTCCAAGAAAAAAATTGAATTGATAAAATCCTCTCCCTGTGTTCCAGGGCGAATTTATCCAGAGAAAATGTCCTAATGACTAAGAACTTAACTGACCGGAATATAACGATTGGGTACTTTTTTACACGGCGCATCAAATGATCTTCACGAATATATTGACCAATAACGGTCTGTCCGATTTCGTCCTCACAGTCCGACTTCACTCCGAATGACCGGCACTAAACTTTTCCAAATAACTTCTTTATTCCTCTTGTTGTTTTGCTTCTGTTTACTGCTTTGTTTAATTTAATGCTATTTAATATTTATATTTGCGCAAAATGCAATTCGAATGTTCAAGACGACCTGGAGTAAATTAAGATGCGTAAATATTCAAGATTTTCAAAGGAAAAATTCGACTGAAAGTGTTTGCTAAAGCCCGTCGGATTCTGATGGGAGGCAAAACTGTAACGTTTGTTTTACAATAAAACTAAAACTGTGGATCTAGTTTGGCTGTTTACAGGAAGATTTTTTTACCTTTACATTTACTGTAAATTTAATACAGGGTTCCGTTGACTTTTCGAAAAAATGCTGGTATTTTGTTACAAGTTTTGATGAAATCCAGAATATCAATCTTGCTCGAGACAAGTTTTAAGTTATTTTATTTGCAGCAGTAAAATAATTCGTTGTCGTTAATTTTCTTGATCTTCCACAAACTACCAATACATCTATGTTGATATAGTCAAGATTCAGATTGACTCAGTATCGTTTAGCCGAAAACAGAAGCAGATATTCCATTCAAATAGCCTTGCTGCCGTTCTTTATCAACTTGCGGGTTGGCCTATCTTCAAACTCTGCCCTTATCGACTTTATAGCCGAAAATAAGGGACAGGAATTCCTTTGACACCCCCTTTTCAACATGGAGGTCTTTTTATAGTCGCGTTTTGTGATCTGGTCCTCAGATAAACAAATCGCAAAGGGCTGTAATTACTCGTTGGTAAGGTTAGCGTGACTAATTATCAATTCATAAAAACGGACGCGTACGCCCCGTTAATAACCCTAACTTATTTTAATTATTCTCGATAAATGCAGCCAACAACATGAATGAAAATAAGAAGTTTTATTCAAAAAAATATGTAAGTGCTTACAGGTCGATATGGGCTGATCTGAACAATGAAAGAAAATATGTTTACTACTTCGGAAGTTATAGAATCAACCAAACTTTCATGTCATGCGTTCGTTCTTTTGGTACCTATTCTCATATTGGCGGAAATTCCATAACTACGGGAACTTTGGTTTTTAGCAATAAAGGTATACCTATTAGATAACATGTTTAAATGCATACGATTTAAAAAATCCACCAAAAATCTATCCTTATATCTCATTTCAAGTCCACCATTTTTGCTCTTTTTGGACAAATTTCGCATTACACTTTTCATATTTACTTATTTGTATCCACCAAATCTTTATCAATATCTGTCTTTTTGTTTCAGGGTTAGAAGCTCAAGTCCAGGATTCATCCAAAGATCTGTACTGGTTTTGAATCGAATACACATGGAGAATGGGAAGTGAACTGTGTATAGTTAATTTTAAGTGCGACAAGTGATTTTAAGTGTAATATATCAAGTACAAACTTTTACTTTATTTATAGAGAAAATCTCACGAAATGAACTAAAAACGTTTATTTAAAATAAATGTTCCTTATTTTTATCAGACTGTGCATTGTCTGATGCAAAGTTTGATTGTAAGTATTAAAGTTACAAGTTAATATTGAAATGAGGCTTTTGATTACTTCCTGTTAGCATTGAAACCAGCCATATGGTTTCTAGTTTTTGATCTAATTAATGGTAAGTAACGAGTTTTTCGTGTCCGAAAATTCTAAAGGAAATTCACTAATAGCGAGGTTAAGAGTTCGTCTAGTGATAGAAACTTCCTTAGGACACCACAATTTAGAATTGTTATTATATTCCTACAGTTGAATGTCTTAAAAACTGTTATACTTAGGATAAAGTAAGTAGATATCGACCGGTAAGGAAGATGGTCCAGTGACTCCAGTAATGCTTAGCTATGCATACGCTGTCAAAAGACTATTGAACTGATGAAAGTATTGCTGAAGAGAAAAGTTGAAATTACATCTGCAAGAGGTAACATCTTTGAGCAATAAGTTGAAAATTGTTAAAGTATTTTACTCGTCTGTCCATATAACGCCTACTGAATTCTTCAACGGATTGGAGTCAATTTTGAATCGTTTGATTCTTGAAGTCTGTCAGTAACCGTAGGGACATAAGAAGAGGGCGTAAACAAAAGTAGTCGAGTTTTCGATCAAACAGTTTGCGAAAAAACACTGTTTTTCTTACAAATCGCGTGCTATAATCTTTGTGTTGAATTCGTTTAAAAATGCAGCTCCAAACATTAATAGTTAAAAATTGGAAATAGAACAATCAAATTATAAAAAACATTGAAAATATATTGTTATTTCAATATATTTATTAAAAAGATTAACAATACGGTTATAGTTAAAGCTAATATTAATATACTATAAAATTTAATTTTTCGACTTTCAACTGTGTTTTTGAACGCGACTGCAGTAACTACCTCGCTGATGTCCTCCCATTAAAATATTCTAGTTAACTGAATAATGACTGAGCGATTGAACATGCCTCTAAAAAATACATCCAGCTTGCTGCTTTAAAAAAAACACAAAATTTGGCCAAATTTTTCTGTTTTACTTTAAAGGAATCACTTCCTTTAAAGTAAAAACATAACTTCTATTTTTCTGCAATATTTTTTTATTTAGTACCTACTACTCATTACTACCGGTGAAATAATTGCATGGCTGAGTGGCGAATCACATTTCTAAGAGAACAAAACTCTAAATGAGGAATTCGAACCGGATATACCTACAAAAGACATTTAGTTACTCAATACTTCTGACGGCAAATAAGAGGTTCATATTTATTAGGCTTACGGAGACTAACAGACTCTATTTTTTAATTGTTACAATACTGTTCTCACCTGGAAATGTACTTTTCGGTTACCACATTATTTAAATTGACAATGGACAAATTATTTCTTTACATAAATAGCAGTGTCATTATTCAGTAATCATCTACTTCTTTGACCAACTCGACTTGCACCTGTAGCCGGTAACGAGTCAACATATCGATTTGTAGGAATTTTTCGATAAAGCCTCGTTCACAATGCACATTAGGTCTGAATAATTGACAGAACATTAAACAAGGCGGCAATTCGAGCGGCCTAATAAAGATAAAACAAACTCGGGCACCTGCTGAATTTTAATAGCCGTATTAAACGGCTACTTTTTCCACTTCGATAATGTTCTTTTCCCTGATACATTTACTAATTGTTACTGATTTGGACTACGAACGACTGTCGTGTGGAGAAATGGGGGTCATTAGGGAACCGACATGGAAAAATGTAGTGCTATTAGGGATGTTTGAGAAAGTAGTGTCAAATGTCTATGAGTAATGCCACTGAAAGGAAAAGGAATATCCTGGGAATATATGTACATAGACAAATTATTTTACTCCTGAGATGCATTCTGCTTTAAAAACTTATTCTCCAATTTCTGAGTAGATATTTATAGGTTTTAACCATTTTAGTATCCGTCTCAGTTAGTAAAGAAGTCCGCAACTTCCAGACCATTCTCGATTTCTATAGTCTCAATATGAACACTGTTCTTGAACCTGTATTAGGATTTTAGGAGGGAACCGGATTTTTTCCCGCATGCAAATACCTCAAATATTTCGAATAAACCAATCTGGTTTCAATAGACAAGCCAAGAGTTTATTTGCTCATCAATATACCCGCTGACCTCCTATAATTTAAAGTGTAGTTAAATAAGCTGCACACTACACAGAACCAAGTAGTTAAAAATAAGATTCTACACGTAGTTTGAATAACACAGGGCACAATTCCTAAATCTATAAAGAACTATAGAATTTGTTCTCAAGTTTTGCCACCACATGGCTTATTCAAATCAGTAAACATGTGTCTCTATTTAGAGTGCTAGCCCTTAACTTTAATAATAGAATTATTTTTGGTCCAACAAAAACAAACTGTTTAACGCACTTTAAGGAAAAACACGCTCACGGACGTCACTGTTCATTATGGCATTCTCGATGGTGGGGCAACAATGCAGGAGCAGCAGCGAAAGGAAAGCCAGGGGTAAGTATCGATTGCCATCACTCTCTTGCATAGTCTTGGAAACACTTAGTTAATTTAATTAATCGAGCAGCTCTTTGATGAAGCCAATAAACTTGGGTAGAGCTAAGGAGTTAGAGTTAGAGTCGCTTCATATTGGTCTCTTTGATTCTCGAAGTTGGTTCCAGCACGAAAGTAATTTAGTTGGTTTATACCCGGTGCAATTTATGAATTGGGTAATAGAGCTTTGGCTTAAGATAATGAAAACGTTATCGAGTGTTAAATCAATCGATATGTTACTAAATTGAGTTAATACCGATGGCAACGCATAACACTTTATATATATAACACATATATATGATGACTCGTGATATGAAGAGACAAATACTGCCACTAGCCTCCGCGATTCTTAAGAATGCGTAATTAATTCATGTTCATTGCGAACGTTTCTAAAACCGTTTCGAATAACTTGTTAAATATTGTATGCATATTATGCTGTTGCTTTGCTATACGCCACACATTAAGGCGCGTACAGACATATGAAACAGAACTCAGTAACGCAACACCGTCGCATAACATTCTGTTGTTGCGTAACGAAAAGACGATGTTGGACGCACTGAAGGCGCAGCGTATCTCCTCACCACGAAACACTATTCCCTCCCATCAGTTCATACAAACCTTAAACCTGGGGCGGATCCAGCTTTCAAGTCAAGGGGGGTCATGTAGTAGAAATTCAGTCTTTTGTTGTCTACGAAAATAGAAAAATTATCGTTAGTCTCCATCATAAACCCAGTACAAATGGGGGGGAGGGCATGACATGATATTGGTATCGTTGGATAAAGAATTGAAAATTCGATTCAGTCAAAACAACATGAATGAGGAAATTCGGATAGTTTTGAACCAGAAAGCGAAATATTATATATGTATATGAACATCAGACAATATTAGACATTAGACTAACTAAATGGCCATTTAAGAAAGTGGTATCATCGATAAAGGAATGTTGGCAGTGTTCTCAAAAAAGTCTTGATTAATAGGAGTTTTAGATTTCAGTGTTTTTTGTAAGTTGCAAAATCGCCTCAAACATGACGCTGTATTGTTAGAAGTTTTTCAAGCCTCAATTGAGCCACATAATTTGTTTGGCATCGTTGGATAGAGAATTAAAAAATCGATTCCGTCAAAACAACATGACTGAGGAAATTCGAGTAGCTTTGACCCAGAGAAGTTAGAATATCATACATTTAGGTGCAAGATTATGCCAAAATTTCATGTTTTCAGTCTCGTTTTTGCTCATATCTGGGAAGCAAAATGAGCAAGAAAGCTGATTTTACATCATTCCAGCAAGAACTAAATGACCTTTTTAGTAAAATGTTGGCAGTTTTCTCAAAAAAGTTTTAGATTTGCGTGTTTTTTTTAGTTGCAAAATTGACCCCCCTTCCTGGATTCGCTCTTGCCTTAAACATACCAAATATTGACTGATAAAACGCAATAAATCCTTAACGTGTTCGCATTCGAGTCCAGACTTGCAAAGATCCGATGCACTATACGCCCGTACATTTATTTGATTGCGACAGCAAATTGTTTAAACACAATTTTGAGACACCCTATATCTAGTCCAATTTTTATTAATTTATCACACAACTGCTCCGATTAGTAACCGCAAGGTAGAATTACACTCGAAGACTTTCTTTGTTGAAGAAAATCTTTGTTTTCGCAAAATGCCAACTATTTCAGAAACCGTAAGATTTAAGCAAGATAAACAAACCTTAATAGAGCTGACGTTTATTTCGGTGGTACACACTAGGAACATAAAATATACGGAAAATTACAATTTAAGAAATGCAACTTTAGGTCATTGATGCCAGATCGGTAAAACTAAAACCCCCAGATGCTCACTTAAAAAATACCTAGTTTTCCTTACATTTTCAAAAAAAAGTTATAACTAAAAATGTTACATAAAAAGTGATAGGTGACACAAAAAACGTTATTGGCAGCAGTACATTACAAAATTTAAAAAATGTTAAAAAATGGATCTCATAATTTTGCATTAACTAAATTGTTATTTAATTATTTTTTTTTCATTATTAATATTATTTTATAATGATATAATAGGACTGATTATTATTTTTCCACCAAATTCGTTTCAGTTATGGATTTAACCTTTACTCGGTTCTCTTAGTAGTGTACAAAATAAAGCAGATTTATTTTGCGGTTTATTGTTCTTAGATTTGTAGTTTGCGTTTCCTTAGTTATCTGTCAATATTTTCACATATTTAAAGCTTTTTCTTTATTAAAGGCAACTAAATTGTCATATTGTCGTTATCTGCATTTGTAATGAAATTTATTTCAATTGTTCACGAAAAAATCACGTTTTGTGGTCACGTTATTTCTGTTTTTTAGAGTACAGTTCCTGACAGTTCGATTTAAATATTTGCTATAAATTAACTTGCGGTTTGCTCTCCGCTTCGTACGCCAAATTAATTCCGTCAATTCAGACATACATTTTTAAGGTGTCTGTTATTAACAGTTATTATTTCAAATGATTTGACCTCTCAGTCTTAAATACGCATTTTGAGAATTGTTAACATTTACCAGCTTATTCAATTAGGCTT